TTGTGTCTTTAAGTAAAGTTTGCTTGGATTTGGTAAATATATGCACCAGAAAATGTTTTTATATATTGTAACCTTGGAGATAAGCATGTTTATAAAATTCCTTAGAATGCTTCTCTTTTACTTTCTAAGAATGTGTCTTTCTTGATTAATGTTTACATTGTTGTTGTTAATTGTCATTCAGTTGGTTCTGACTCATAGCAACCCTGTATAGGATTTCTGAGGATAGCTGGGGTTTTTACCCAACGACCTTGTCGTTCAAACAAATCTTTCGGTCCAGCACATTATCCTGCAGCACCACACCAACTATAAGAATGAATGTTGTTACTCGTTCTCTTGAAAGTTGTGATTGGTTATCTGCATTATAGTTGGTTTAAATTTCTACTCAGGTCCACTACTTCTTCCTTAGAAGAAGCAACTTTAAGGATGAACTCCATTCCTCGTTTTAAAGCAGTCTTTTGATTGAATATCCACAGAGCTTACTGTGAACTGTACATAAATGTGTCATGGGACTTTTGGTGTGGTGTGGTGCTGTAGGATCAGCACCGGACTGCAAACCACAAAGTCGGCAGTTCAAACCCACCAGCTGCTCCTCAGAAACCCTATTCAGGGTCACTATGAGTCGGAACCAACTCCATGGTACTTAATAACAACAGCAATTCAAAGAAGAAATTCACCTTGAATATTCTTTCATTTAAGTTACAATATTACTAACTTATGACTAACTGCATTCATTCTGTGGTCTCTGCCATATGAGCTATCCAGAATACTTGGACTGGCAGAGCTCACATGATTTTAGATATGTTGTTGTTGTTAAGTGCCATCAAGTTGAATTCAACTCATAGTGACCCCTATATAGTGTTTCCAAGGAGCAGCTGGTGAATTTGAATTGCCAACCTTGTGATCCAGCGCTTATTCTACAGCACCACACCAGAACTTCTTTTTTAAATAGGAAGCTTATAAAATTCTATCGCCTACAATTACTTTTAAAAAGAATTTTATTCTGATTTCTTTTCATATCTTATCTCTTAAATAGTAATGTACTATAGTGATAGCTTTAGAATCACCTCACCATTATCCATTTACTCTCAGACAAGCAGATATTTTGCAAATGTCAAGCAAACTGGCTCTCTCCTGATTCAGTTGATATTTAGTCCAGTCCAAGGATTCTGGACAACTCAGATGGCAGAGACCACAGTAGGAATGTAGGCATTATCTACATATTTCTTAGCACTGGATTTTGTTTGAAATGGAAGACACTACAACTTTTCTGTCTATAGTAGAGAATGATTTTAGAACTCTGAAACTTTTAACATATTGCTTATTAAAACAGTTCATCATTGGATAAGAGAAAGAGATAATTTGGAATATCCCAAAGTAAATGACCACTCTCCTGAACATAGGTCAAGTGGTAAACCAACCAGGATTATTTAATGGACAATAATAGAAATTAAAGGAGCTCTGGTAGTGTAGTGGTTACGAATCGGACTGCAAACCTTAAGTTCAGCAGTTCAAAACTACCAGCCGCTCCACGGGAGAAAGATGAGGCTTTCTGCTCCAGTAAAGATTTATAGCCTTGGAAACCCTGTACAGGGTCGCTATGGATCGGAACCGACTAGACGGCACTTAACAATAATAGAAACTAAATCTGGATAACATGTAGAAAACAAAATATAGTGGTTCATATAATGGTAAAGATAAAGATTAATTATTATTGAATCCACAGACTTAGGTAACATCAACACTATTTCTTCATCTCTTAAGAATTTCTTTCCCTTTCTGGCTTTATTTTTAATAAAGCAGTCTCTATATTCTGTCAAATAAGAGGATTTTCAAAAAGTTCATGGGAGCCCCTGTCTTCTTCCTCCTCCTGCCCCAGGGCCATAGCCCCTGATGGTGTCCAGCTGAGCTTAAGTGTGGCCTGTGTCACCTGTCTACACAATGCTACCCAAGAAACAGCCTCAGGCAGGGGGCAGCAAAAAGAACAGGATAAGGAGAAGATATCATCAAAGGCAAAACTTTCAGTCTAAAGAATAAGAAAGGAGCAAAGCAACAGAAGTTTATTAAGGCTGTCACTCATCAAGTTAAATTTGCGAAACAAACCACATCAGATAGCACAAAGTAAAGCAGAAAAGAAATTGAACAAAGATGACAAGAAGGAATTGCAGGAGCTAAATGAACTGTTCAAACCTGTGGATGCTGCTCAAAAAATAAGTAAAGCAGATCCAAAATTTGTGGTGTGTATATTCTTTAAGCAAGGACAATGTACTTAAGGAAATAGTGTTAAGTTATCTAACTCTGGAGAGAAAATGTGAGATGTGAAGATGCAAAAGATGAAGAACTCGATAAAGATACCATGGATAATTGGGATGAGAAAAAAACTGGAAGAAGTAGTGAACTACAAGCATGGTGAGGCAGAAAAGAAAAAAAATCCCAGAACTCCAATAAGTGTGCAAGCATTTTCTTGAAGATATAGAAAACAACATGTATGGCTGGTTTGGGGTATGCCCTGGAGGAGGAAATATGTGCATATATCATCATATGTGCATGCACATCCTGGATTTGCCTTGAAAAAAGAAAAAGAAAGAAGATGAAATTTCATTGTTGTTGTTGTTGTTGTTAGGTGCCATCAAGTCAGTACCGACTCATAGCGACCCTATGTACAACAGAACGAAACACTGCTGGTCCTGAGCCAACCTCACAATTGTTGCCATGCTTGAACCCATTGATGCTTCCAGTTTTCCAATCCATCTTGCTGGGGGTCTTCTTCCTTTTCTCTCACCCTCCACCTTACCAAACATGATATCCTTCTCCAGTGACAGGTCCCTCCTGACAATATGTCCGAAGTATGAGAGATGAAGTTTGGCCATCCTGGCCTCCAAGGAGCACTCTGGCTGCACTTCTTCCAACACAGATCTGTTGGTTCTTTTGGCAGCCCATGGCACTTTCAATATTCTCCAACACCATAACTCAAATGCATCAATTCTTCTATGGTCTTCCTTATTCACTGTCCAGCTTTCACATGCATATGAGGTTATTGAAAATATTTCATTAAAAGACCTTATTGAAAGAGAGTGTTCTGTCCTAGGCCCAAATGTTACCCAAATCACTCTAAAATCTTTTATTGCATGGAAAAAGTGTAAAGAACAAGAAAGATTGACAAACTTGAACAAGATATAGAAAAAAGGAAAGCAAATTTCAAAGCAGAAAAACACTAGTGGTCGTGAGATCTTTGAATTTTATCCTGAACTGGTTAATGATGATGAGGAGGAAGCAGATGATACCCATTACACCCAAGAAATAAGTGGTGATGAGGCTGATGATTCTGTGAACGTAACTGTCAGATTTAAGACCGTACATTCCAACAGCTGTAGATGAGACAGGTGCTACAGTAGTCAGTCTTGAAAGACTCAGCACATATACTTCAGAAAAAAATGAAAAAAAATTAAATGAAGCTTCTGAAGGTAGGGCAAAAAATAGGGAAAGAACTGATTTGGAAGAGAACAATGAAGGGGAGGAACAGGAAAATGCAGCCATTGATGCTGTTCCTGTTGATGAAAACCTTTGCACTGGGGAAGATTTGGATGAACTAGAAGAAGAATTAAAAACACTTGATTTAGAAGAATGACACTAAACAAGTTGATGAACAGATGAAATTATCTCAGCATGAGGTGAAATTGACTACACTAATTTTTTCACACCTAGAATTCTTCAACAGGATATTTTTATTTTCCATGCTGGTTCTGGAGGCCTTTCCCTCTCCTAAAAAGGAACATTTTCCCTACCTCTTCTCTTCTGACTTTGACTACATTTCATTGTAAGTTCATTGTAAATTGAAATATAGTGATCATTTCAGAAAATGATTGATTGTTAAGTGTGCACTAAAGTAGTAAGCACAACTGCTTTTCCAGCTTCTGATTTTCATTGGGTATGTGTTGCTGACCGGGTACAACATAAATTCAAAAAAGAAACATCCTTCATTTAATGCAGTTTTTAATGGGTGACTTTATTTCCTTTGGATTTATATATTAAAAAGATGGCCTAAATTATGAACACTTTATATCATATGCATATGCAGATTCAGTGTTCTATTAACTTTCGATGATTAGATGGACATTTGAGATGGAACTCCTTTGAACTGACAGGATCAGTTGTAATACTCTGTATTACACTTTTCAACGTGTCCCTCTTCCTTTTGCCAATAAAGTTGTAAATAAAGATCATCACACATTAAAATCCAAAACCAAAAAAGTTAGTGGGAAAATCAAACTATCTTTTAATTTCACTTTTCCATGAAGTTTTTGAAGCCCCCAAGGACAGTTATCATTGGAATCCTGATGTGGCACAGTGGGTTAATGCGCTGCACTGCAAAGTTTCTTTGAATCGCAAGGTTGGTGGTTCAAGCTCACCAGCTAGCTGCTCTTCAGAAACCCTATACAGAACTAACTCAATGGCACTCAATAACAACAACAGTGCAGTTACCATTAGCTGCAGGCTTCTATTTTCTTTTTCTCACATAATTTAAGGGAAGCTCCTGATTGGGTCGACTTAGTTTGATGAATGAATATCCAGTGATGCTATGATGGAAGTATCTGATTGGTTGAGGTGGGATTTGTGCCCATTTCTTTGTGAAGTAGGCAGGTGAAGTGATTGATAACACTGCTGGGGTTAGAACAGAGACACCTATAAATAAGGGAAGAGAAGGAAAAGAAATAGCTTGAAATCAACTTGTGCCTCCATGCTGACAGTGGTGGCTTTTCAAGAAACTATGCAAAGTTGTGATCTATATTGGTAACTGGCTCTATTTTATACCTGAAGCAAAGAGGAAAGATATAGCACCCAAACAAGAAAGAGGCAAGAGAGACACAAAGAAAGGTTAGGATTAGTTCATGCCAATCATTTAATTCACCCTCACAGTTGGTTCTGTTTCTGATCCTCTGGTAAACAAAGATATTTCTAAGGTGGAAGTTACTTTCAGTTATCTCTTTTATTTTACTTTTTAGGTGGACAAAAAAATCGTCAGAACTGAAATAGGAGTTCTTCTTCGCCTCTCACATCCAAACATTGTAAGTGGATTTTAACCTACTATTTTAAATAATTTCCAAAGCTAGAGAATAGAATCTTTGTTCTTCACTGTCCCTGCTAATAAAGAATAAAGAGATTCTTTCTCCTCCAGCAGCCACCATGACCCAACCCTTGTCCTCATCTCATCACGTTTTCAATTCTTTGACTGCATAAATCTTACAAATAATATTCCTTGAGAAAGAGTTCAGAAAATGAACAGATCAGCAATATGCATAGCATCTTTATTTTCATGCATAAAAGAATAACAAAATAATTAGAGAATTGTATTTCTCTCTAATAAAAAACACTAGATTTTTTTTTTTTCATTTGTATACCTACTTTATTAATATGCCATTGCCAAAAAAGCCTGTGAAAAAAATGCATTGCTTTCCAAAGCCATTTTGGTTTCCTTTGAGAGGGTATCTGTTTCAGGAACAATGTGAGGATTCAAAGAAATGATGTGCTTGAATTGAGAAAATAAAATGCCCTCAGTAGCACTGCTTTAGGCTATGCCTGAACAAAGCCACTGAGGAAAAGATGGACAAAAAGCTGTCTTAGAGTCAGTGAAATGAAATGAAGAAAATCATTTTCAAGGCTATGATTTTACTTGAGTCATCTACCTAAATAATTTTTTTTAACTGATATCTGCAAGAGCAATAGTGCTCAAGGGAATGATCTGCAATGCTTAATACTTGAGGCAAAATGTTTAGAACCTAATATATGAATTAGAGGCACTTCAAGCTATAAATAACAGAAAACATAAATATGGTAGTCTGAACAAATGAGTTTTCCTATGCTATGAGAAATCAGGAGGCAGGTAATTGCTAGCATTTGTTCTGATCCTCATTGACTCTACTCTGGACCAAGCACACTCTGTTTTTTATACCGCCATCCTCACTGCATTGACTTTCATCCTCAGACTGTCCCCTCACACTTCCATATGGCTGCTCCCCAGAACGCACTTATCATTGGGTCTGTATTCAAGAGAGTTAGAAAGTGGAAGGATGAGAGTCTGATGAGAAAAAAATAAAAACTCAGATTTTGTTAGGAAAAGCAGGCCACTCAATCACTCATTACTGCAAGGAGACTAAGAAATTGGGGAACAGCGTTGTCATAAGGGTGTTAGATCAATCATACTGTATTATTTAGAGTTGATGGTGGTGGTTATGTGCTGTGGAGTCGGTTCCGACTCCTAGCGACCCTGTACAGGGTTTCCAAGGCTGTAAATGTTTACAGGAGCAGAAATCCTCATCTTTCTCCCACAGAACAGCTGGTAGTTTCGAACTGCTGTCCTTGCGGTTCGCAACCCAATTCATAACCAGTACGCACCAGAGTTCCTTATTTGTTGTTGTTATGTGCCATCGAGTCGGTTCCGACCCATAGCGACCCTGTATAGGGTTTCCGAGGGTGTAAATCTTTACGTGAGTAGAAAGCCTCATCTTTCTCCCGCGGAGCAGCTGGTAGTTTAGACACCTTATATTCTGATACAAAATCAGGATTCTGTTTTCAGCCAAGTCAAGGGAAAACAGTCTTGGACAAACAATTAACAAAACTTGCCACACTCAATCACTGCTTTTACTTCATCCAACTTTTCTTTTTCCAAAGAAAAGCTACGTTGGAATTTGCTTCAAATGCAGTTCAGTCCTAGACTCTAGATTCTAATATATATTTAGAAAAATATTCAGAATTAATGAAATTATCTGAATATGTTAAAAACCCTGTTCCAGTCAGGTAAATAATGGCTGCTATTTCTTTGCTGCCACCACTCGTCTGTTAGTTTCTCAAGATCTGTCATGAGGTACAATGCTGTCTGTGGTAGGATAATATCCATACTCATACAAGGAATACCAGTTAATACCACTATTATTCAAATTTATGCACCAACCACTAAGCCAATTATGATGAAATTGAAGGATACTACCAACTTTTTCTATTGCATTAGGCAAATCTGCTGCACAGGAACTTTTTAAAGTGTTAAAGAACAAACATGTCAGCTTGAGAACTAAGGTGCGCCTGACCCAAGCCTTGTTATTTTCACTAACCTCATATGGATGCGAAAGCTGGACAGTGAATAAGGAAGATCGTAGAAGAATTGATTCCTTTGAATTGTGGTGTTGGAGGAAAATACTAAAAGTGCCATGGACTGCCAAAAGAACCAAT